CATCTCCCAAAATCACCTAAATTCTTATGTTTCTTATACCCCTTATTTATAGGATAGGGGTGTACATTTTACGTTGTTACAAAATCGCATAACAACAATGACTATAAATGTTATAATAAAATAATAATTGAGTATTATATGGTGAACAAGAATAAATATTTTTTTTTATTTTTTCTTATATCAATGAATAAATATCTATTCTAAAATCAAATTAATATTAGTTGACGTGTTAGCGAAATAATATATTAATTAACATATTAATTTTTTTGGCTAAAATAAACGTCACTTATTAAAAGATGTGAAATATAGATGATAAAAACCTATTGTTTTTTTGTCTAAACGTACAAGTCCTATGGAAATAATTAATTTATTATATGTATCACGTGCATCGCACGGGCTATGCACTAGTATCTCTTGTATAGACCGTTTATATATTTAATCCCACTTATTATTTAGATAAAATTACTCCTTTTGTTTTTCAGATATACTCTTTACATGGTTTTTAATGTTTGGCGGTTTTTTAGTATTTGGTATCATATCTTTCTTATTTTTTTTTTCATTTTAGTTAATTTTTTTTATTGTAATTGTAAATTATCTTATATTTTCTCTCTCCTTTATTTTCATATACCAATTAACTTATTTCTCTTTTTTTTCTCACTTTTCTTCTGTAAAATTCACGATTCACTGTCTTATATATTTTTTTCTTTTCTTCTTTTGTAAAATTCACAAAAACATTCAAGGAAAATCTCAAAATTCAAAGCATATGGATCTCCGTTTGATCCTTCAGCGGTGCACCAAGCATCAGGCTTTGATGCAGCAAGCAATCCTTTAATGATGGTGAGCCGCCTTGTGGATCTCCATCAGTGGGTTTTTGTCTATATTGTATTTGAGAAATTATTTTTTTCTCCTTTTTTTAACCCCCGACACTCAGTAAAACACTTTTTTTTTGGGATCACATGTATATATATATATACATAATACATGTGTATATTATAAAATAGTTGATGTTAAATATTTTTATTGTAAATATAAAGTTGCTTTTATCACGGTTATTTTAATGTTGTTTTGTTGTTACCTATGTATATTATGAATTGATTAATCATTTTTTTGTTGTCGTTTTTAGGCATTAATCATTAAGAAAAGAAGAAGAAAAAGAAGAAAAATGAAGAAGAAAAAGAGAAAAAATAAAGAAGAGCGATGAAGAAAGCAATTGGAAGAATGAGAAGAAAAATAAAGAAACGAACAGTTGGTTTAGAGGGATTAACAATCGAATATTTTGGGATATGGTTGGAATTATTTGGGTCAGATTTGGAATTGTAGAAAGAGCGTCTCTTTTATGGAATGATTTTTTAATAGATGATTAATTATGTATTCCTATGTAGTTTGACCTTCGATTTTGGGCTACCTATATATTTTTTTTGGGCCAAATACATAACTGACCCAATTTAAAAATAAGATTCCGTAAAAGAGATAGCATATCATGAATTCCACAAATACTCCAATAGTAAGTTACATCAATTCAAATTAAAATTCTAACTGCTCTTTTTTCTCTCTTTCTTTTTTCCTTCTCTCTCTTCCTTGTACTTTCACGATTTTTTCTCTTCATCTCTTTTTCTTTTTCTTATTTTCGTCTTCTTCAAATAGAATACCTAAAAACATAAAAAAAAAATCAATTAGTTATATACGTACACAATAATAAATTAACAATAAAGCAACATAAAATGAAACAACAAAAAATAATAAAACAACAGTTAAGCAACATGCAAATAACTGTTAGTACCCTAAAAGGACCCTAAAATCTTTATAACCCCTCCACTCACCAGAGCCTCTGTGAATTATAAACTATTATTGCATAACCCCTCCACTCACCAAATCTTCTTCAGAGGACCCTAAAATCTTGGAAAAGAAATCAAAAAGGGCAAAAAAGGGGAAAATTATATTGTAGGGCCTCATTTTTAGGTATTATTTTATAATAATGTCTGAATTTTTAACTTTTTAATTTGAGGGTTTGAATTTTAAGTTATTCTACATAAAAAGGCTTACTTTTACATTCTAATTCTCAATTTAAGACTCCAACTAATTTTATATTTTTACATAAATATATAATCCAAATACTATTATTTTAATATTTATTTTTTAAAATAATTATAAATGTATTTAGTAAAATTACTTTAGTATATTTTTCTATATAGTTTATTATTTAATTTTATCACATATTTAGATTAAATTAAGTTAAAAATTTATTTTTTAACTTTTAAATAACTTTCATTAAGCTTTGAATAAATGTAAATTATGAAATAGTTATATTTTTAGGTAATTTCACTAAGATATTTAGTATTTTTTTTATTATATGTACTTAAAAAATAAATTTTAAAAAAAGTATTATGTTGTACATAATTTTGTTAAAATAAAAATAAATTTAGAGACTTAAATTGAAAAGTAGAATGTAAAAGTAGGCCTTATATT